CAGCCGCTGCACTGATTCACCTGTCAATTTCATGCTCCATCCTCCCCTCACTCGTGAACCCTGAGATACTTGAACTCCTCCACCCACCCGGAGAGGGCAAGCCACCTTTTTCTGGTCTAGAGCCATGGTCTCGGACTTGGAGGAGCTGGAACCCAACTCCATATGCAATATTTGGAAAAAAAAATCTCACGAGATATATATATATTTTTTTGTGTGCACAGTCTTATGGCAATTTTGTCTCATGAGATCTTGTATCACCAGGACCATAAAATGTTCACACAGAGCGAACACAAGAGGCGCTACTAGTGGTAATTGTGTTGTTCCTAGGTACATGACGGCTCTTGGTCAGTCCTCGTTCTCTTTTAAAGGGGCTAGTCTGTGGAACGGTTTACCAGCTAATTTAAAATCGGAAACTAATAACAACAAATTTAAAAGGAAATTAAAATTATTGTATGTTTCCAATCAAAAATGCATCCATTTAAAATGTACTGTATATATTTTATCTGTATATAACTTATGTGTCTTGTATTCTCTGTTTTTATGTTTGTGTTTTTTTATATGGACAGGTGTTGAAAACTAGCACTTGTGCTAAAACACTCAAAGCAATGCATCTGGCTTGTCTAATGCAATTGTGATGTCCTTAATAAACATAACTATATATATATAACTATATATATATATTTTATATATATATATATTATATATATTATATATATATATATATATATATATATATTATATATATTATATATATATATACTTATATATATATATATTATATATATATAATATATATATATATATATATATATATATATAATATATATATATATATATATATATATATCATCCCTAATGATTCCATAAAATCTTGTAGTTAAATTGTTGTTCTCTGTGTATGCTAAAAGTCACTTCTGAGTGGACCTATATTTGTGTTTAACTTAGACGTAATTGAGCTGTGCACTCACCAGTTACTCTAGAGTCAGACAAGAAGACCCGTGTGTCTCTCTCTACTGTATATCAGCTGAGCTCCTATATTCATATAGGCGCCCATTTGTGCTCTTATTAGCATAAAGATATATGTGTGTCGTCTCTTGTGACTGTCTTATGTGAAGCTTAGCACGGAAAGTGGAGCATTCTGATCAGTAAACGTCTAATGAAACATCTATTCACCCGGGTCTGGTGTCATTTCTTAACAATTATTTATTTATTTAACATCAAGAAACCATCTCACTACGTCTTATCTGAAATCTATTGTTCAATATATGAAAGCTGGGACAATATTTTTTGGGCTTAGTATTTATCGTGTCTATATTCTTTGCACTGCTGGGAAATTTGTGGTTATTTTTTAAGCTATAAGATCATATTTAAGCTGTAAAAATTAGAATTAATAACTTCTATGACTCACTACAGACGCAAACTGAGTACTAAAGTGTTTCACTCTGCTGTTTATTTACATTTTTATTGTACATTTAGAATAGTTTTGTGGTTTAAATCAGCTTTTTGGTTATTATGTTGTCAGTGGTAAAGTAATTTCAATATTATCATTTATTGTCTACATTTTCTTCAGCAATATAAAACCACTTCAGAACTGTGACAAAATTCCACATTGTTTTTTAAAACAGGTGGACAAAACTAAAAACCTACACTTGAGATTGTAATAGGAAAAGGCAGGAAAGAGTGATGGTAAATTATATATATATATATATATATATATATATATATATATATATATATATATATATATATATATATATATATATATATATATATATATATATATATACACACACAGACACACACACACATTTTGTAATTAGTCAAAAACGTTTCCTCTATATTTTATACTTTGATAATAACTAAATAAATAAATAAAATAAAAAAATATGGCTCGGTTCAGTCGATATCCCATTTTGGTCTATAAATTGGTGTAAGATGACTGACTGGACAATGTTGGCACCTTGTAATAACTGTAAAAGCTGTTTTGTAGTTACTTTATGATCATAAGCAGTTTCTGTTTAAAGGTAATAAGTTATATTTTCACTCTCTGCACTGGTATTGATCGATATTAGGTCTTGGCAGACACTGAAAACCAAAGTATTTACATCACTATTGGAACAGAAAGAGCTGGATCGGTGCATCTCTGACAACTTGTATTGTGTGTTCCTCAAAATGAGCATAAAAACTGTTGTATCCTCCCTTTTATTTGTTGTGGATATAGTCGCACTTAAATTAAAAAGTACAAATATTTACTACACAAGTTTAACAGTCAAAATGCAAACTAGATTATACGTTTTGAACTCTCTGGGTTGTGATAATCAAAACACATGATTGCATTCTAAATCAGTGCATTAATTAGGCACAGCACAGGCTTTTTCAGAAGATAAAGCTGAAGCACTCTTTATGAATACAAGACATAATCCATGCACCGCCTTTTTCTTTTCTTGGCGTTTCCTTTGGAGACTTGGGCTCTTCGCTAATTTGTCAAGAGCTTGTTTGGTTTGAAAAACTGAATCGACATTTTATCACTCTCAGCAGAAAGATGTGGAGTCGTGCCAGACATTTTCCCCAGCACAGAACGCTGAAAATACATCGAGATACAAGCCACACATGAGACCGGCTTCTAGCTCGTATTTACCTCTTATTAAACTCTGAAAGGTGCATTGTGTAACTTTTCTGGTGGAAGGTCTGTCAAATGCTTTTCTCCATGGACATCTTATTGCTTTGTCTGGAATGTTTCACAAAATGGCATTCTATCTTCATGAAGACCAAACACAACCAAGTTACAGGTCACATCTGTGGAGAGGCAACCCCGTTCACAGTCAGAATGCCTGTTTTTCTACGTATTTTTGAGCAATAAAACCACCTGTAATTGAATAAATGTAAAGTAGAGCTGTTTAATGTCATACTGTGGAACATTCCTGGCATATCCATAGAAACAAGCAGGTGACGGACCCCCAGCCAAAATGTTACATAGTGCACCTTTAAACTAGTGATGTACATTAATGACATTTTCAAAAGATACTGATAAAAACTACAATATTTTTCATGATAAGTAAAAATATAGTTTATTGTTTGTTGCTTGTTTTAATATTTGCTCTGAAAAGTGTCTTTGAGTCTACTGAAAATCACTATATAAATAAAATGTATTATTATTATTTTACTATCAGATTTTGTGATTTTGTTTTGGTTCTACTAATAATCTTAAAGAAGACACACTGTGCTTGTGTCTGCTTTATAGTTATAATCTTTGACACTCATGGATCATTTTGTTTTTTAACACAATTTAAATCACAATAGGCTCTATTCACACTTATGTCACAAACCAGGAAGACGTCTGGAAAGATGTGATGACAACTTCTGGTGTAGTTCCCGACACTGGACTAGCCGACTGACTGTGATAAAACCCATTGAAGTAAAAGTCACCAGTGATAAAATGAAGACTGTATATGTATGTGCTGTTGGAATCATCTTGAATTTGGTGCCTTCATCTCTTCTAATCGCACGTACCCAGTGCGCTCGGAGTTGTGCATCAGTGGGGAAATGATGAAAGCTAAGGTATGGTTGTAACTGCTGATTAGCCGGATATAACGGAACGCTACAGTTACATGTAGATGAAGAAAACTGGGCCATTTTCTCATTTTTTGAAGATTTTGTCAGACTTACTACCGCGAACAGAGCACGCTGGAAGTTGTAATTGCATCTTTCCAAACATCTTCCTGGTTTGTGACATAACGTGAATAGAGCCTATATTTCTAAAATGACTTAAGAAACAAATCAACTCACTTCCCATGTTAGAAAACTGGGGGCTCAACGGGAGCTGACATCAGAGTCCTCCACCGGGTCTGGTTTTATGGGTGGGTATGCGGGCAGGTAGTAATTACACATGGGTCAGTACTACACCAGGACTACCCCAGGATTAGACCAGGACTAATCTTGAGAGAGAGACAGAGAACCCCGTGTGGAGCGAAACACACTGTCCGCAAAGCGCAGCACTTACCTCAGTGTGGCATGTAGATTTGCTCCGGTCCTTTCACCTGCGGTCACTCGACGGACTACACAGGCGCACCTCCAGACCTGTCCTGATAGTGAGTCCTGGTTCAGTTCTGGTTCAGGTCTGGTTTAGTCCTGGTTTAGTCCTAGTTCAAAAGTGCGGAAAAGTGCGGCGTCTCTGTCAGTGTTTGTTCTGCTCGGTAAATATTCTTATTGAAGAAAGTGTAATAGTTTCATTTCATTTCGTGATTGTAATTCTTGAAGTCGTAACTTTTCAATTCGTATTCTGTTGGACACTTCACAGGTTAACGGGCAGGTGCGGTGCTGAACTGCGCGGGTCCAGGCAGGTGCAGGTCTCCAAAAATAGACCCGTGCAGGACTCTGGCTGACGTTATCACAACAGTGGGCAACTCCGACAGACAGCTGTAGACCACAATAGCCAGCAGTGGACTTTTTTTCTTCCTTTGTACCAAAATGACTACGCAACGCTGCCAAATCTTACACGTATAACCGATTAAGAAAATAAAATTGGACAACGAAGTAAGTACAGAACAGTGGGCTCTGCAACTGATTTGCTACAAGTGCTGGGGTTCAGGTAGTGAGGACTCAGATTAATTGTCATAATCGCCAGCGCATAATCATCCCATATGGTAATTTCACCAGACTGCGTTTGAAAAGCCCACTGGGACGAAGCAGAGGAGAATGTACAGTGTTTTACAAGGAAAGTTTACCTCATTCAAATCACACTGGAACCATCTTATAGGGTCTCAGCTGCGGTGCTATTTGCCAGAATCATTTTGCATATTTTTCTAAGTAGTACATAATAGACAGACAGATGGAAAATAATTATCTCACACTTGAAGAATACACCACAAGCTGTCTCTGAGCGTGGCATCCCTTTACTCCTGCTGGGGGCATTCTCTGTGTGTAATCCAATCTGCTTTGGGCATTCTGTTGCCAACACATTGTGCAGGGTGAGCCATGGGACTGTGAAAGCCTGTTTTTACCTGGGGATCTTTTTGTAGTCGGATGTGTGTAGTCCCATGGCCTGACAAAGCCCTCTTCTCCACCGCGTGATGCTTGAAGTGATAATAATCTCCGAAAACCTGCAGAGAAAAAAAAAAAAAAAAAGAAGAAGGGGTTGTGAGTTCACCTGACGAAAGGGCGAAAATACCACCCCAATCTCCGGTGAGGCGTTCATGTGAGCACGAGCTGGAAATGGGTCTTACTTTTTGGGGAATCGATTTCCTGGCAATTTTTTCACCCCCATTCAAATCCAAATGAGCTCAATCAAGAGAAGGCTGTTGAGTGTGAATGACTTCGCAACTTAGCCAAAGATAGAACAGGCGTAAAACAACTACTCCCATATGACACTGGAATAAAAGAGCTGTGTAACCTCAGGGGAGTCAGAGCAAAGCAAAGAAAAGAATCCTATATGAAAAACGGTAGATAAGAGCTGAATCTATGAATCTTTGCCTGTCACACAGCGTTACAGTCGCCATTATTCACATTTGAGAGCTATTATATGCTGTAATTGGTTTCATTCATTAGTTGAAAATAGATTCCAGGAAAAAAAGGAGAAAATGAACAATTATTTGCAATCATTTTGCTTTATATTCTACTCATTCATGAAACAAGAAAAAAAATGTCAAGAGGAAGTTGGGAAGTCTTTGCAACACAGCTTTATTATGCATAATTCATTCATTTGTTAAAGGTGCATTGTGTAACTTTTCTGGTGGAGGGTCTGTCAAATGTTTTTCTCCATGGAGGTGTTTTTGCTTTGTCTGGAATGTTTCACAGTATGGTATTAAACCTTCGTATCTTCATGGAGACTAGACCAAGTTACAGGTAAGATCTGTGGAGAGGCAACACCGCTCAGTCAGAATGCTTGTTTTTCCAGTTTTTTTTGAGATATAAAATAGAGCCCACAGGACCCGACGCAAAAATGTGCGGCACGGGACACATTTTGAAATCTCACTTGCGGGCGTGGGCGAGAGCGGGACTGCACAATGTGGGAGGGGGATGATAAACTGTACTCCCACAAACTAAATATGAGTGCAAAGTAAAATATACAAGTGATTAATGTGTAATGTTTGCCTATCATACATAATTTGTGCTGGATATTTTATTTGGCCTTATTAAAAACATTTTAAGCAACTTAAATTTGCGGATGTGGTCTAATCTCGCGCACATTTTAGACAATTCCTTTCCGCTTCTCCATGTTTGTTAGAGCTTAAGAAAGCGAACGTCCACATCTTGTCGGATTTGCGGGCAGGAGTGGGACAAAATATCGCAGATGTGGGCGGGAGCGGGACTGAAAATTACAGTTCATTGCGGGAAAGGGCAGGAACGGGACTGAAAATTCTGTCCTGCGCAAAGGTCTACTATAAAACCACCTGCAATTAAATAAACGTAAGGTAGAGCTGTTTAATGTTATATGTTGGAACATTCCAGGCAGAGCAATGACATATCCATATAAAAGGCAGGCATCGGACCTCTAACGAAAACCTTACACACTGCACTAGGGATGGGCATGATTAATCGATTAATCGATAATTGATCATTAAGAATTTCATCGATTACGTTAATTTTAATCGACAAACCGAATGTAGGTTGCTGTGCGTAGTGTGACCAAACAGGGTCCGTACATGTTTCTCTCTGCACTCAGAAAGAGCGAGCAAACACAAACAGTCAGTCCGCCTGCAACGTGCCGAAGCACAAATGTGTATTTAACGATGATTTGTACAAGAAATTCCACGCTTTCTGTTGCGTTCGGGACAAGTGTGAGGCCATGTGCACAGTGAACAAAGCAGCACATATGTTTCGGTGTCCAGTGGGAAAAAGCTTTGCCAGGTGAGAGTCGCGCAATGTCAATGACGAGTCCCACCTCCCACCCCCGTACAGGTGTCCTGGTTTTGACAAACGCAAATATGGTCACACTAACCTGTATTCCACTGAATCATGTCTTTTAATCCGACAGAAATTGACCGCATCAGCGACACAAGAGCTGTAGTTTTATCTTCGCTGAGTTTATGCGATGCGGTTTTAAGTTTTGTTTCTGTGAGAGAGTTGCGCAAAACTGAATTAAACACATTATAATGTCAAACGGATTGATGTGGCTCTAGAGTCGTTACGGTTTATATGTCGTAAAGTTGAATTTATTTATGCAGATTAGTAGTGCAGATAGTAATAATAACTAGAAAAGCACTCAGAGAGCGCAGACCTCCGCCAAGGACTACCCCCATTTTTTATATAAATTGCGATAAAATCAGTCTTCTGGATCAGATCCGGATCAGCCTTTGGAATATGAAAGAGGATCCCATTGTCCATCCCTGAGTCAAATTTCATGGGGTTTGGTCAATAATTAACCGAGATATTGAGAAACAAAATGTTTTGCCCCATTTACCACAATGTTAACAAAAATTTCAAAGTGATCCAAAATCCAGGATTTCTTCCAGATCACCCCCAAAATGAAATCAGTTCTTCCTTTTCACATTTCCAACAAATCCTGAAAATTTCATCAAAATCGGTCCATAACTTTTTGAGTTATGTTGCTAACAGACAAACAAACAAACAAACAAACAGACAAACGCCGGCAAAAACATAACCTCCTTGGCGGAGGTAATGATGATCATTTTAATATAAAAACGTTAATGATTAATCGATAATCGATCGTTAATTCTTCAGATGATCGATTAAGAAAATTTCATCGAATGCCCATCCCTGCAGTGCACCTTTAACATATATATTGGAGAGGTATGGCGAGCTCACGTACAAATCTCTGTGACAGCATACAGTATTGCAGGTGCTTAAATTGGTCTCTTCAATCTCCATGTTGACTCAGAGGTAAAAAGCCATCTATCAAAAGGCAAGGCATGGCAGGACAAGCTAATTTCTATTTATTTGAGTTTTTGTTTGATAGTGTCTGTGCATACTAAAGCTGGGGATACCGGATTTTCACACTGTGTAAAGAGAAAGAATATCTATACAACGTCTCCCAGCTCTTACACACCTATCGGAACATCATTAATCATTCATTTCAGGAGAGTGCAGGCTTTAGAAGAGCTTTTTTAAGACGACAAAAGGAACAGAGGTGGACCGCCTAAGCAGAGTCAGACAGAGTAGATAAGCATTTAAGAAATACTTAAGTAAAAATATTTTTTATCATTAGCTGTAGTGGTCTCATTTTTGTTGACTTATTGTTCAATACATGAATTTATGGGTCTCAGTAATTATCATGTGTACAGTGTCTTCAGTTTCTTTGTAATACTGGGGAAATTTTAGACCTTTTTTTCTGTACAATGATAAGACTGGAGCTGTAGAGAGTTGAATAAATTACTTCTGTGCCTAATTTGCCAAATAAGTTGGTCATGTGATTGGCTGTGAGCTTCAGAGATTTGTCACAGTGAGGGACAGGAGGACACTGGACAAACTTCTCGGGTCTCCAACCTGTGGCACAGGAGTTACGGGTTGCTCTCCATCTCCTTCCTAGTAACTTGTGTGATTTCTAAATTACACTTACTGTGCTTAGGGGTGTAACGATATCCGAGTCTCATGATGCGATATTGTCACGGTATGAACCTCACAATACGATATTTATTGCAATATCGTGGGAAAGCTCACGATGTGGTGGGGAAATTCACGATTAGGGATGTAACTATATCCAAATCTCTCTGTGTGATATTTTCACAATATACATCTCACGGTACGATATTTATTGCGATATTTTGGAGGCTTTTTCCTTTTTCCTCTTAAAATGCCTTGTTAAAACTTAATCCAAAGAACTAAGACTTGCTTAGAACTGTTATTTCCTCTTGTAGTCTGCACTGAAATGGCGCAAAGGATCATGGTCTATGTAGTTCATTTTGTCTTTTTTTTTTTTTTAGCTATTGCTGCATCATAACTCTTAATATAAGCAAAGAGACTTGTGATTTGATATATTGTGATGGTCCATGGTATTATTGTGAGAACTTTGACGATACGATATCACAAATTTTCAGTTATTGTTACATCCCAAATTGTGCTGAATATGTGAAATTTGATTAATTAAACCACTGTACATGTATCATTTTGATGTCTAACATTGTGCTCTAATAAATGGATAATGGTTTATTTTACAGACATCCAACTGTACCCCATCTAAGGGTATGGCTCTTTTATATAGTCAGTTTCTTGTGACCGCAATTTCTTGTGAGGAGCTCTCTGGCATTTTTGTTTTGTAACTCACTGGAGGAAAAAGGTTGGAGACCCCTGCTCTAGAGGGACAGAGGAGCTCATTATCCAACACACTCCTACAGCTCTGCTCAATCAGTGAGAGATACAGGATTTCATTCATACCGTACTCCATACAACTGTACAACAACTCACTCTTGCGTAACAGATAACCTATGTCAAGTCAATCATCATCATTTTTGTACTGTACTGTTTTCCTTGTGACCTCTTGTATAAAAATGAGACTTTTATAAGACTTTTTCAGAACTTTTTAAGAGCACTTAAATGAAAAAAAATAAAAAAACACTAGATTCAATTATAATAATGACCATTACTCACTGCTTTAAATAACAAAAAATACTTTTATCATAAAATCTCATTTAGAACTCATTTATAGTAGTATGCACTGCTTGTAAAATGGCCAATTTTTTTTAATAACATTCTAACAAGACAAACTAAGTATTGTTTGCGCATACTCCAAATTAAACATTCATGTTATGTGATTTCATGTTTTTTTTTCTCCCTCCATTTAACATTTCACTGCAGCTCAGTTGAGTATACAAAAAAAAAGGGCAAATGAAATTTAAGACCTTTGTGAAAAAAATAAGACTTGGATAACATAATTTAAGACTTTTGAAGTCCTTAATTTAGGAACATGAAATTTAAGACCTTTTTAAGACTTAAGACCCCGCGGCTACCCTGGATTTAGAATTTATTATTACCATTTATACTTTTTACTTTTGTTATTATATTATATTGTAATGTGTGAGCTACTGTGTCCAAATAATTTCCCTTGTAGAAGTTTGTCTAAGTCTTAGTCATTGATTCATTTTGCCATTTATTTGTTGCAGCTCAGGCCTTTTAATGATGCTGTATATTTAAAAGTTGGTCAACT